TCTTCCGATTACAATATTTGCGCGAATTAGAACAAGCGAACTGTTTGGGGCGAAATTAATGATAGATCGTAGATTAATAATAATTGTCGAACAAATATTATATGGTTGAATTGCATTTATACCAGGGCTGCATTTTGCATAAAACTGTAAAATTTAATTTTGTGATGTATACAATAGAATTTTTAACAAGAGAATTATTTTGCACTTATTAATATAAGCTATGCTAACACTATATACAGAAGTTAATTTATTGTATTCTCTATCCAACGTTTAGGATTAAAAATCTTGTAAGTTTATGCAACATACGAACCGAGTTTTGAAATCGAGAAAATTTTTGTCGATCATTTGATTTATTTTCTCACATTTTCATTATTATAAATAGATTTACAAATTATTTGCTGTAGCGTCAAAGAGAAAGTTTCGTTTAATTCTTTATTCATTACTATACAGGCTGTGAACGCGTCTTTAGACCACAATGTGGTTGCAGTAGGGTTTACGAAATCGTTCGACAACTGTTGTGATTGTTATTCTGGTCGATTCCACACCTTTCGCATAAGTATACGATTGCGATACGTATGAATTATAATGTTATCGCATTGTCGATAAGCCGGTGTTTCAATCGCCCCGTACATATAACCGTTGCACTACGTGCGAAAATTCGATAATTCGATTTTATAACAGAAAAATTCTCTTTTCTTTTGTAAGATTTTATTCATGGTTCTAACAATAAGTTACCTCTCGGGAGCATATATACCAATTATTTAAAGTTTTCACGTAATTCGAAAGACGTGTCTATAAGTTTATAAATTGTATAAGTTTCTCTTTTTACTTTGAAATAACAAGTTACAAATCGCAATTTGTCCTTGTATGTTATAAAAAATATTCTTTTACAATTTAACTCAAGTAAATTTATTTTATTATATTAATTTTTTCCACCATTTCATATATCTTGCAATAATATAAAAAACAAAACATATTAATATAACTCAGTTTCATAAGCACAGTATTTTAGATCGAAAGACACTCGTGAAGATTTGATTCCGATGATAGTCAATATCCTGTTATATTCATGCAAAGTAATTAGGACACATAACGATATGTTTATCTCGTTATTATTGTATAATAGAAGAATTTCGATATGAAGTTTCTCTCTATCCCTCATCTCTGCTATCTATATTTTTCTATATTGTACGCGTATATGCGTATAATTGTTACAAATCAATACAATTTCAATTTATAGCGCTTTCAAACGCATTACAATGTTTTTGTAAACGCGCATGACGGAATTATTTTGCATCATGCGATCGTTTAGCCGTATAAAGGTATGCAACAATGAAACATTATTGGTTTAATTTAATGGCGCATTAATCCGAGCCTTTGCGTACATGCAAACATTCATTTCAACAAACATTCATTCCAAATTCGGTAATATGGTCTGTAAAATACGTCCTTATTGGCTTCCAATATTTGCTTCATTTAAATAGAATATCTATATCCGGGAAGCAAAAAGATACAAAATTAATTTTTTTTCTGAAAAAGGCAAGAATCATGAAAAAAGGTACGCAAAAATAAATAAAATAAATAATTTTATTAAAATATATTTTTATTATATGACAAATTTACTTTAAACGAATTAATTATTATATTTACTTTATTACTGTTAATACGCGTTATCAAACAATATTTGCGAGCTTTAATCGTAGGCTTTATTTATTTTGTACTGTATTTGCTTGCTTTATTGATTTATCAATATTATAAATCTGTCCAAACCGATAATTTTGGACTTATTCCTTGTTATTTCTGAGATACAGATATGCGCTTTGTAAAAGCAGCGCAACTTCTGAGACACACGTCCCAAGCAAATATGCAATTATGCAAAGCGAAGCAATTTTTTAACACGAATTTATTCGCAACTGGGCATCTCCGTTCGTACGGGCTGAAACGCATTACAATAAAAATAAATCGCCCGGAAGCGGCGCGGTAGGGTCTCCCCTATCCTCATCTGCCGTAAATGTATGACACAGAGCGAATCCGCGAGGAGGGTCCTAAGTATCTCATACCGTATCCCTGAACCTGAACGCCCGATGAATAAGCTGCTTGAGGCGATATCTCGTAGAGGCAAGTTATCGGAGGGCGAGAATTTTCCTCGCATACCGAAACAAACCAACGCTCCCCTAAACACGTGAGCTTCGCGAACGTGTCGGTTCTCCCTCGAGGACGCTCTCCCCCGAAACTTTAAATCACCGGTCGCGTATACACCTATATAATAGGGTGGAGGGAGATTGCGTATCGCGCGCGCGAGAGCGTGCATCAACCTGTTGCGCACGTTCGTCACTCACCTTGATTGTCGGAGCCATACCGAAACCCGGGAGATCGCGCCGCTTGATCTTGGATGTTTTGCAAGAAGGTATCGATCAGCGGTATCGATCGAGACAATGAGAAATGACGTTCCAAAGGAGAGTCTCGAATATGTGCTCCTTCTGATTGATAGCTCCGTTGATCCTCTCACCGCGAAATCACGCAACACACTGGGCCCTGGGCCTAGAGAGGTACGTATCTGTGGTACGTATCTTTCCTCCCCTTCCTCTGGATAAATACTAAAGTGTGCGTGGCGCGCGTAACAAGTGATATATACCGGCACTCCGGAGAAGGTACTTGTTGTCTCCGGCTGCCGGCAACGTTTAAGGAAGGGGAAAGGTGCGTGACATAGCGAGAAGTAGTACTTTTTCACCTTTGATAGATATGTGTAAGCGGATGTCGTTATTTTATGCGACTTTCGTCGACATACTGTTTCTTTTGCAGAAAATGAAATGTGGTGAGAGAAAGAAAGTTATTAAACATTCTCAAGCTTATCTCGGATAAAAATTAAAGATTTACAAGATTTATTATATTTCATTCTATGTGAATTAAATTCCCGAAAATAATTAGGGAGGACTAAATATAATAGTTTGAATAATATATGCTGCCGTTAAATAATAGAATTTTGGAGATTTGCAAGAATAACTTTCTCAATATGTATATAGTCATCTTACTTTTCAATATTTTATCATAAATTATAATTTATTCATAAGAGATATTTTTGACAAGAAGCGGAGGAACGAAAGATCGAGCAAAATGTCGTTATAATCTGAATTTTTTTTTTATTATTATTGTTGACAAATTTTATAGTTATACTTTTATAGTGTGAGAATATTATTTTATTATATCATACGCATATCGTACGACTTTTCGCTTGCTGTCGTGTCTGTCGACGCACACGGAACAGAACCGAGCAAATCGTTAATTTCTTAGAGAACTTCGTAGAACTCGAAACGGATCTCGCATCATTAGGTAATAGCGGCCCGGTCGATTTCACTCATTGAAGAAATGCGCTATCATAGTTGGCTATTTTTATTCAATCTCCTCAGCGGAAACAAATTTCATGCATTATGTCACACAAGAAGAAGTCGTTTTCGCGGATTTATCGACTTTTTTCTTGGTACGCTTTGGAATAGCAATTCGATCGTACAAATCCGTTAAATATTGCAGCGCGCATAACGGTTGGCAACCGGTTAATGCGACATATTTTTAGCTGGTGGATGAAAATGTTACAAAACTAGAGCAAAAATAGCGTCTTATGTCTATCTAATGCTGTCGATGAACTCTGCTATCTTGGTTCCTTGAAAATACATTGGATGAAATATTTAAAGTTACAAGAGATAGTTGCAGTAATTAGCTCAACAGATAGCTAATAATATAACATATAACATCTTCGTTGCTCGACTCTTTTAAAGCTAATTGGATCATGTAATTTATCTCTCTTTGAGATTTTTAATTTTCATATTTTATTTAATTGCATTTAATTTTCACCTCTTTCAATCTTTTCATCTTTAAAGAAATACTTTCTCTAGATCTTGGTAGATGATATATATGCATAATGAAAACAAGCAGAAAGAGACCCCGAGTGAATATTTCCATATTCCAACAGAATTAATCATCGCAATGTGAGATAAAATATATCCGCCACCATGTAAAAATATGCATTTATCTCGTCGTATGTTCAGACAGAGGTCTCGGCTTTTTACATCGACTCTACGCTCCTTAATGTGGCATTTGCATCGCAAATTCCATCGCTATTTTCTCCGCCGGATACATCCGATCCGCAAAGTTGCATCGTTACAAAAGCAATCCCGATAAAATCTCCGACCTGTCTCTCTCTGGGACGAATATAACGAGTCAACGAGCGTATTTTTCGGCGCGCGTGCGCGCGTGTTTCATTTTGTTGCTGTCGCTCTAGCTTTGTCGTCGACCGTCGACCCCTTTTCTTTTTTTTTTTTTTGTACGTTTCACCGCGACTTCACGACCTGGAAGCACGGGAAAGAATTTCTGGCTAAAATCGACGGATTTAATGGGTGGTATGCGATGCCATAAGTCGTAGCGTCATTCGCGTTCGCATATGCAACGCGTGCTCGTCCACGAAGATAACGGGTTTCGAAAGCAGGATTCGACGAAAAAAAATAAAAAAGAAAAAAGAAAAGAGATGACCTGGGAAGAGAGGCATGAAAAATACGGTTGTGTCGGCGAGAGAGCGGACACGGCAACCCAGCTTCCACATCGACGAGATGGACCGACGACGAGGGAAACTCGTGCCTTGTATCGATGAAGGTTACATCGGCCGGAATTTGCTGTGCACTCTCGAGCCGGAAAAGTTTCCGCGGCTTTGCGTCAGCGAAATTACACCGACAACAGCATCCAAAGAGAGTAAATTTGCACAAAATTTAGTAAAATATAATTAAATTAATAGTTATTGCATAATTAAATCAGTAAATAATGATCATGATCATAAATATTCCTGATTAATCAGTATTTAGGACTGATAAATAATGGAAGAAGGATAGCTAAATTAATCATCATTCATGGTTGGATTATTAATCATTAATTGGAGATTATTAATCATTAATTGCATCTTTGATGCAATAAATTAACGATTAAAACAATATTGGAAGCTTTTATGAAATTTATATATATTAGTTAATTGTTAACGAAAAAAATCTCAGAATTAATACAGAGTATGAGAAATTTAAAGAGAAAATATGTTAACTAAATATGAGATGAAGATTTTTATGCAAAATTTATGGAAGTTGGTCATTATTTATTCAACTTTTCAATGTACGAGAGATATTACATATATACTAGATATTATATAAGTCTACTTAAAAATTAATATAGTTTATAAATAAATATGTGTCCTAAATAAATGTATACATTTTTTAAACTGAAATTATGAAGAGAGTTATATTTACAATCGTTTATAATTCAAAAGTTGTGGATATTTAAAAATTAAAAAATATAGATAAAAATATAACCAGATAAAGAATATTAATATTAAAAATACGCCAAGTAAAAAATACACTGTTAAAGTTTTATGTCAGTTGCAAATTCTCTGTGTATTGGCTCAGAGATTTTCGCGGCATCAAATCGGCGATAAGAGAGTCCAAAGAGAGCAGGATTCTAGTCCCATCGACGTGCCGAACGATTGCATCGATTTGTTCGGCAGTTTCCGTAGAAAGATTTAATTTTCCGGGAGGAACAAGTAGTGTATTTTTGTTCGGAGATTTTCGCACAACGCCTGCAGCATCCGAAAAAGGGCGGATTCCAACCCCGTCGACGTGTCGGAGCGATCGTGCTTTCGCGCTTCGATTTTTCCGCGCCGCCTCTCCGTCATCGGTTCAGTCTTCCTTTTTTTTTTGTCACCCGACTAGGTTGTCGGGAGCTGTTTGAATGGGCGATCGTTTCGAGGCGATCCGATTGTTCCAACGGAACGAGTTTACCCTGAAAAAAAAGAGCCCGATTGGGAAAAGGGAAGTCTTCCGAAGAGGAACGGAAAGGGAAGTACGGTAGGGGAGGTTTAATTCACCTCGCATTGAGTTTATTTTAACATTTGTAGCCGCTTAACAGCGCAATTAATCTTATATTCTTTTAGCGGCGCATGCATATTGAGATGCGCCAATTTTAAGCTCGCGCGTGTATAATATATAAATAGATTTCGTTATAATTTAATTTAATAATAATTGAATTCGATAATTCCCTAAATATTTAATTTATCATGAATTATTGCTTATTTATTCCAGATAAATTTATTTAAGCTTCAATTAGCTTTAATTAATAGTTTAAATTTAAGTATTTTTTGTTCATTAATTTAATAAATCGATATTCTTGATTTAATTATCTGCAGCCATCATTCTTAATTAATTGATGTAATAGTAATACAATCGTTAATAAGAATTAGATGTTTGTTTGCCAGAAAAATTATGTTTTCGAGTGTGGAACGCGTGCATGGTCGCGAAAAGAAATTAGGAAACACTAAGCTAATGATTAAGGTGATTTTAACGAGTACGTGCCGGGCGTAAATTTGAGGTATCGCGCCAATGTGGTCGCGTTAATTTTTTTTTTTTTTTTTTTTTTTTTTTGGTCGCTCCGTTATTTACCAAGCTATCGGAAAATTCAACAGTTTTATCTTTTTCCCGGGTCCGGCGCAAATGGTTTTTCCGTTTTTACATGGCGTAACAGCCATAACATACGTGGATGACTGTGTATAGCGAATTGTATAAGTAAATGTTTCGCATTTCAATTTGCAGCGAAACGAATGCATGTTGTTACACTGCTCTTTTACACATACATATATGTATACATACGTTTATACATATATATATATACACATACATAAATATACATAAATATACATATATATACACACATATACATATATGTATATTTATATATTCCGGAAATCGCGCTGTAAATCCTTGACTGCCAAGTAAACTTACCGTGAGGTGGATCAGTGGACGTTAAACCACCAGATTAGAGGCAGGAAAAGGATGATGCTTGTTTTAACCCTTCTGCGAGGGTTAATCTCCTCCGAGAGAATTCGAATAACCAGCCCGTAGCTTAACAAGGACTGGTTTTCCTCCGAGGATATAAATTTAGATAAACAAGTTTTAATCACATTTTGTTTCTGGGAATTTCGCCGCTGCAATGTTAACTGTAATTTAATTATGTTAATTTTAAGCGAATTTGTGGATATAATTATTCTTCCATGCACGCGAACGGGAAAAATTGTGCGCTTTAAATGTACGAAGTGCGAGATTGCGCGCTCGTTGTCAGTAACGATATCGAGTTACGCGAAATTAATCGTGTAACATTAAATTTATCGACAGAACCGTCCCGCGTTTGAGTCTCGCTTGATATTGGCTAGATTGAATAAATCGTCCGTGTTATTTAAATATTTATTCGCGGGAAATTACTCGCGTTGGCTTAATAAATTCAACTATGATTTCCCTGTAGACTTGATCTCTTTGCTTCGAGGCGCTGAAAGTTGGAAAAAGATACAAAGGAGAAGAAATCTCTTTTTCTCTCTCTCTCTTTTTACAGATTTTCTTTATTTTTTGTTTAAAGCGACAATACAACTGATTGAAAAACAAATTGTTCGTAAAACTCAATGATAATTTTGTCTTGGAAAAATATATACGAATAGATAAAATCGCTAAAATGTGCTATACGACTTTTAATAAATGATCTAATAGGTATTATA